CTGGCCTGCTGTGTTCCTCCAGCTCCACACTGTATTATCTCTTGTAATCTACCCCTTTTTTTCTTTGCTAATATTTTTACATACCTTTAAAAGCTACACCAATCCAATTTTTATGCTTTTGTAATTGTACATTCATATGTCATCTTCTATTTCTTTTGTCATTTTCTTCATCCTCATTTGTTGAATTTTAAAATCCCCCAATCCTCAGACTTATAACATTGCTTGGCAGCTTTATATGCCTTTTCATTTGATCTAATACTTCCTTTGTTAGCCACAATGTTCTTATTTTTCTTTTTGAATAATAATGGAAGAAGAATACACAATAACTTTTAAAAGGGGAGTAATAACAATAAAATGTTGCAGATGCTGGGAATCAGAAATCAAAACAGATAATGCTGGAAATATTAGAGTCATAGAGATGTGCATCACAGAAACAGATCCTTTGGTCCAACTCATCCATGCCGACCAGACATCCTAAATAAATCTAGGTCCATTTGCCAGGATTTGGCCCATATCCCTCTATACACTTCCTATTTTTATACCGACCCAGATGCCCTTTAAATGTTGTAATTGTACCAGCCTCTGACACTTCCTCTGGCAGCTAACTCCACATATGCACAACCCTCTGTGTGAAAAAGTTGCCCCTTAGGTCCCTCTTAAATCTTTCCCCTCTCACCTGAAACCTATGCCCTCTAGTTTTGGACTCCCCCACCCCAGGGAAAAGGCCTGTCTCTTTACCCTATCCATGCCCCTCATGATTTTATAAATACCTATGATGTCATTCCTCAGCCTCTGACGCTGCAAGAGAAATAATCCCAGCCTATTCAGCCTCGCCCTATTGTCAAACCCGCCAACCCTGGCAACATCCTTGTAAATCTTTTCTGAACCTTTTTGAGTTTCAGAACATCATTCTTACAGCAGGGAGACCAGAACTACATGCAGTATTCCAAAAGCGGTCTAACCAATGTCCTGTACAGCTGCAACATGACCTCCCAACTCCTATACTCAATGCACTGACCAATAAAGGCAAGCGTACCAAAACACCTTCTTCGGTAAACCCAGGTTCAAATCTAGGCCCTCTTGTGGCACAGTGATAATGTCCCCACCCCTGAATGGGGAGCCCGGGTTCAAGTCCTACCTATTCAAAAGGTGGTAATAACATCTTTCAACAAGTGGATTAGGGGAAAATAGGTTAAACTAAAAAGAAAGACGCTTCCGGGATGCACCTGCTGTTTCGCGATCTCAACTTTTGTTTCGACAGTGGGTGGGGCACGGTCGCGTTTGATGGGCTTGGCTTGCCGTACGCGGTACCTTGGACGTCGTGAGACAACAAGGTGCAGGGCTGGATGAACACAGCAGGCCAAGCAGCATCATAGGAGCAGAGAGGCTGACGTTTCGGGCCTAGACCCTTCATCAGAAAAGGGGGAGGGGAAGGGGGTTTTGAAATAAATAGGGAGAGAGTGGGAGGCGGATAGAAGAGGGATAGAGGAGAGGATAGGTGGAGAGGAAACAAACAGGTCGAAGAGGCGGGGATGGGGCCAGGAAAGGTGAGTGTAGGTAGGGAGTTAGGAAGGGGATAGGTCAGTCCAGGGAGGACGGACAGGTCAAGGGGGCGGGATGAGGTTGGTCGGTAGGAGATGGAGGTGCGGCTTGAGGTGGGAGGAGGGGATAGGTGGGAGGAAGAACAGGTTAGGGAGGCAGGGACGAGCTGGACTGGTTTTGGGATGCGGTAGGGGGAGGGGAGATTTTGAAACTTGTGAAATCCACATTGATACCATTGGGCTGCAGGGTTCCCAAGCGGAATATGAGTTGCTGTTCCTGCAACCTTCGGGTGGCATCGTTGTGGCACTGCAGGAGGCCCAGGATGGACATGTCGTCTGAGGAATGGGAGGGGGAGTTGAAATCGTCTGTGGCCAAGCTAACGGGTGGGCGGGGCTGGTCAAGCGGGTGGGGTCAAGCTGACTGTGAGGGACCGGACAAGGGGGCGGGGCCATGACTGGTGGTGGGCTGGCCCGATCAAAGGGGCGGGGAGTCGGTGTTGGACGTGGGGCGCGTGTATGGGCGGTTGTGGGCGGGTCAGCGCCGCGAGGGGCGGGGCCGCGGGATGGGCGGTCTCGGGCGTTCGGCTCGAGCGGCGGGGGAGGGGCCGGGCCGAGTCTGAGCGGCGACGTGTTTACGCGAAGGCGACAACAGCCCTGCCCTGGCCGACAACATGAAGCCTGCAGTTCGAGAGGCAGTGTCGGCGAGAGGCTCCATTTGACAGCGGCTCAGTACTTAGCGGAGGGGAGAGCACGGGGTGGGTGTGAAAACAGCCTGTTGTGGCGGAGCGAGGATGGAGAAGAAGAAGAAGGAGGCGGCGGCGAAGGTAAGCCGATCAAGCACCGGGTGTTTGTGTGTATTTAAGTGGCTTGTTTGTGTTGAGGAGGCCAGGCCTTGAAGCGGCCCTGAGTGGAAAATTTCCTCCGGATTTGAGACTGGAAAGCAATCGAGCCCAACTTACCATAGCCTGCCGATTTATAAAATGTTGCTGATAATATTGTTTGTGATGGGTTTTAATCGGAGTCTGCTAATCTGACATTTCGGTCCCTACACTTCTAAATATCCACCCTTTTGTTTCTCTTGAGGGAATTTTGATTGCTTTTGATTTGCAAAACGTACCATTGAAATAACATCTAAAAATAAGACTTAATTTTTACCCTTGGGTTTTAATCACAGTATCCTGCAGTTCTTAAAAATTAAGGCATTTACAAAATAGACAGTTGGCCTAGAAATAAATTGAGTTTAAACACTTGCCCCGCGAAACAATCAGGAAAGTCACTTGCAACAATTTCAGATGCAACAAAAATAAACTTTTTTATTTGATCACTTTCCACTTGAGCTATTGTAATTAATTTTACCTTGCAGCACATATCTGATCCCATGTACCTGTTACAAATGATAAGCTACCCTAAAAAAAAACGAGGTTATCTTAAGCATTCATTTAGGAATGTTGCCCAACTGGTGCTGCAGGGGTGAGAATCGCAGGAAATGTTTGAGTAAAGAATGAATTTTTTTTACATTCTGTTGTGGAAACTGCTATATGGCAAAGCCCTATTTGTCCTGAGACAAATGTCACTAACAAAAGTTCAATTGTAGTGTTTATCATTTGGCTGTTTGTAGAAAAACTAAATTTTCAATTACTGTATACAGTTTGAAGGCATTAACAATTACACTTGAGATTTAATTAAAAACTACTCTAGTTGAGTCACCTAACATTAGTTTATTCAATCACTTTGTTGCTAAGTACTATACAAGAGAATTGTGTTCTAGTTTAAAATGTTAAAATGCAGTGTTTCATGTCAGCATTGATTGATAGATTTTAGTTCTTTACTTTACTTTATCTTTGGAGTTGTTTAGTTTTATTTTAAGCAAGTAAATATGGAATTAGCTAGAGTTGAAGTTATTCTTGAGTAACTACTAGACTTGTATGGAAGTTAATGTGCTAGATACATTGAATACGTGTACTAAATCAGTTACATCATGCAATTGTTTGGAGAATAAATGTTTTAAATTCAGTATTTCTGCAAACACTGCTGTTTAAGAATGAAACCTAAGTTCTGTACAGGACACAAAAACAACAGGCTGCTATAAATCTCCAGTATAATGCTTGGTGTTAATGTTTTGTGTAGCAATTACTCTGATTTAATAATATATTTATACTACTTATTTAGAGAATGGAATTTCCATAGATTGTGTTTAGTTTGTATTCGTACCCTGACATTCATGACTGTAATCAATTTTTTCCATTGGTTCTTGTGCATAAAAATAGACACAGAAAATATATAAATAAACTGAGGATATCTCAAATAAAACGCCATGAACCTTAAAACTGAATCCAGCCCATTCCTGGCTGGTCTCCTACATTGTAGCATTTTGTAACTTTGAGGTAATCCAGAAACTTGCTATCTGTGTCTTGCAGCAAGTCCTGTTGTCCTGTTCCTCTGTCATTCCTGTGCATCCTGACATCTGTTAGTTCCTGGTCAAGCCATATCTTGATTTCAAAATTCTCATTATTGTTTTCAAATTCCCCCATGACCTTACCCCCCTCTCTCTCTCTTTAATCTCTTTGAACCTCACAGTGCTCTGAGATATTTTGACTCCTCTTATTCTGGCCTTTTCCGTGTTCCCAATCATAATTGCTGCACCATTGGTGACTGTGCCTAGGTCCCAAGCTCTAATTTCCTCCCCACTCCCAGATCTCTTTGCCTGTCTAAGTTGTTTTCCTGGTTGAAGACATTTCTTAAAATTTACCCTTTTTACAAATATTGACCTGTGGGATTGAATACCTTTATTTTTATATGTTCCTGTGTGCCATGGTTAATTTCACTACATTAAAGATATAATAAGTTGTATAATGAAATAGTATGTAGGATATTATGAAGTCTTCATGTGATATTCCAAACTTGTTTATTATTATACAAGAGCACAAACAGTAGTGCATTTCACAAACAAAACGAGTGGCTCTGTTGTTACTAATGGCATTTGCATGGAGGTTAAATAGAACATTTATTATAGAGAGTGCAGCAAATTGCAGTACCGAATACAGTAGTACAATAAAGCTTTGACAAAAGAGAGTCTGTGACTCCATAAAAGCAAAATGTTATGTAATAGGTGTTACCTTTTAGTTCCTGGACTAATTTTCAAGATGTAAGTATGAATGTTGAATCTCATCTGTGTGCATTTGGATGCTAGTGGTTGCATAAATGACACAGTTTTGGAGCATTGATATCCCTTGTGACTGTATACATTAAATAGGACATGGAGAAACAACTTGTCCATGGTGTTTGATGCTTGTGGTAGTGCTATGCTACCATACAACCTCCTCTCCATACAAGATTGCATTTGAATGATTCCATTTCTGATTTCCATGCAGCCAGCACATCGCCATAAGACCATAAGAAATAGGAACAGGAGTAGGCTGTTTGACCACTTGAATCTGTACACTCAGTGCTTAATATTACGTGGAGTGAATGGGCTGGAGATTGGCCTCTGATAGATCTTGGCTTTGCTTTGAAGTCACCCTTATCCATGCAGAATATCTGGCTAAAGATGGTTCCAAGTGCTTCAGTCTTGCCTTTTATGCACATGTGCTGGGCAAGTTGGGCTCTTTCTTCTAATATGTCTAGAACATGAGAACATAATAAGAACTAGGAGCAGGAGTAGGCCGTCAGGCCCTTCGAGCCTGCTCCGCCATTCAGTAAGATCATGGCTGATCTTTTTGTGGACTCAGATCTACTTACCCGCGTTCTCGCTGTATCCCTTCATTCCTTTATTGTTCAAAAAAAATCTACCTTATCTTTTAAAAACGTTTACTGAAGTAGCGTCAACTACTTCACTGGGCAAGGAATTCCATAGATTAACAACCCTCTGGGTGAAGAAGTTCCTTCTCAATTCAGTCCTAAATCTGCTCCCTCTAATCTTGAGGCTATGCCCTCTTGTCCTAGCTTCACCTGCCAGTGGAAGCATCCTCTCTACTTCTATCTTATCTATTCCCTTCATAATTTTATATGTTTCTATAAGACCCCCCCCCTCAATCTTCTGAATTCCAATGAATATAATCCCAACCTACTCAGTGTCTCCTCATAAGCCAAACCCCTCAACTCCGGAATCAACCTAACGAACCTCCTTTGCACCCCCTCCAGTGCCAGTACATCCTTTCTCAAGTAAGGAGACCAAAACTGCGCACAGTACTCCAGGTGTGGCCTCACCAGCACCTTGTACAGCTGCAACATAACCTCTCTGCTTTTAATCTCAATCCCTTTAGCAATGAAGGACAAAATTCCATTTGCCTTCCTAATTACTTGTTGTACCTGCAGACCTACCTTCTGTGATTCATGCACAAGGACACCCAGGTCCCTCTGCATAGCAGCATGCTGCAACTTTTTACCATTCAAGTAATAATCCTTTTTACTATTACTCCTACCAAAATGTATGACTTCACGTTTATTTACATTGTATTCCATCTGCCAGACCTTTGCCCACTCACTCAATGTATCTATGTTCCTCTGCAAAGTTTCACAGTCCTCTGCACACTTTGCTGTGCCACTCATCTTAGTGTCATCTGCAGACTTTGACACCCTACACGTGGTCCCCAACTCCAAATCATCTATATAAATTGTAAATAATTGCGGTCCCAACACCGATCCCTGAGGCACACCACTAGTCACTGACTGCCAGCTAGAATAGCACTCATTTATCCCCACTCTTTGCTTCCTGTTAGTCAACCAATCCTCTATCCATGCTAATACTTTACCCTTAACGCCATGCATCCTTATCTTATGCAGTAGCCTCTTGTGCGGCACCGTGTTGAAGGCCTTTTGGAAATCTAGGTACGCCACATGCACCGGGTCCCCATTGTCCACCTTGCTCGTAATGTCTTCATAGAATTCCAAAAGATTTGTCAAGCATGACCTGCCCTTCATGAACCCATGCTGCATCTGCCCAATGGGACAATTTCTATCAAGATGCCTTGCTATTTCTTCCTTGATAATAGACTCGAGCATCTTCCTTATTACAGAGGTTAAGCTAACCGGTCTATAATTCCCCATCTTTTGTCTACTTCCCTTTTTAAACAGTAGCGTCACATTTGCTGTTTTCCAATCTGCTGGGACTGCCCCAGAGTCCAGCGAATTTTGGAAAATTACCGCCAGTGCACCTGCTATTTCTCCCGCCATCTCTCTTAGTACCCTGGGATGCATTCCATCAGGGCCAGGCGACTTATCAATCCTTAGCTCCATTAGCTTGTCCAGCACTACCTCTTCCGTAAAATGATTGTTTCCAGGTCCTCACCTACCTTTGTCTCTTTGTCAATTACTGGCATGTTATTAGTGTCCTCCACTGCAAAGACCAATACAAAATACCTGTTCAATGCCTCGGCCATTTCTTCATATCCCATAACTAAATTCCCCTTCTCATCCTCTAAAGGGCCAACGTTTACTTTAGCCACTCTTTTTCGTTTTATATATTTTTAGAAACTTTTGCTATCTGTCTTTATATTCTGTGCTAGTTTTTTCTCATGTTCTATCTTACTTTTCTTTATAGCTCTTTTTGTGGCTTTCTGTTGACCTTTAAAGTTTTCCCAATCTTCTAGTTTCATGCTGTTTTTGGCCACTTTGTATGCCTTCTCTTTCAATTTGATAGCCTCCCTTATTTCTTTAGACACCCATGGCAGATTACCCCTTTTCTTACAGTCCTTCCTTTTCACTGGAATATACTTTTGCTGAGCACTTTGAAAAATTGCTTTGAAAGTCCTCCACTGCTCGTCAACTGTCCCACCATAAAATCTTTGTTTCCAGTCTACTTTAGCCAAGTCCTCCCTCATTCTAT